ACACGTGATACTTCTTTTAAAATGTAAACAACCGTGCACGGGTGCACTTAAAATAAACCCCGGTGCGAAAATGACAATGGCATGGTGACACTTTTTGGAAAACACGCTTTCATGTAAATAAAATAAGGGTCGCTTTTGTTGTCACCATGATAGTGTATACCTATAAGTTCTCTCCGCCTTTACCGACCTAGTATGAATTTCGCGCGCGCGCGCGCGCGCATGTGTGTGTGTGTGTGTGTGTGTGTGTGTGTGTGTGTACGTATATCTAAAAAAGCGTAGCATGTCAACACGTGGGCAACAAGTCATAGTCAAAAAGGCCTAATTCATTACAGACCTATTGGAAACCCCTCTTTACATGTACTTATGTTAGGAAAAGTAAACTCGGTTGAATCAAAAAATGTATTTAAATATATAGAGTTATAGAACCTTAAAGTTAACATAACAGATAATGAAAAAAAAAAAAAAATAAATAAAATAAAAAAATTAAAATTAAAATCCATTAATTTTAAAAACTCATTAAAACTAATTAAAAACACATTCAAATTACGTAACTCGTTAATAAAAATTAATTAATTAAAATTTTAAAAAGTCATTAAAACTAATTAAAAACTTATTAAAATTACGTAACTAGGTCACCTGCGGTGATTACGTCACAAGGTCACCGGTGCAGGGTGGTCAAATGGTGGTCAGATCAAAAGAAAATCGGAACGGTCATAAAAAAAAAAAAAAAAAAAAAAAAAAAAAAAACGTAATTACTTTTCCAGACTTGTAAAAAATATGTCTACCCCGCATACCTACGTACCAACGCACCGTACTTAATGTACGTCGTTAATTACCATAACCCGTCAACCGAGCGGGGAAAAAAGCTATTAATCATCATGACCTATCAAAGCGATCGGTAAAATCGATTAACGTGGTAACAGATGTTCCCACACTTAACGCGGGCTTTGTGGTTAACCACTTAGCTCTTTCAATTAAATGCGGTTCGGTGAACAACGCATAAAACGCATGATGCGTGACCAACTTAAATTAGGCGACCCATTATGCTAATGACTTGTAGCTGCGATCAATATGAACTCGCCCTTTTTACGGGCGTTCTAAACACAAAGGATCGCGGATCGATAAGTACCAGATGTTACATGTCTGGTTAAAGGCTGGTATACAAAGACTGTTCTAGTACATGATAGTGTTAGTCTTTTATTTAAAACATACATACATTCAAACAAACCAACAACATTAAACAACAAAGAAAAGAAATATATCAAACAAATAAACAACAAGTAAACAACAAAGAAAAGAAATAATTAAAAAGTAAACTAATAATAAAATTACGTAACTCGTTAATAAAAATTACACAATATAAACAAAGTAATCAAATTAAATAACAAGTAAACAAACAAAATAAACAAACAAAATACAAAGTAATTAAAATCAATTAAAATTTAAAATTTAAATTTAAAAATTTAAAAAATTAAAATCCAATTACGTAACTAGTCAATAAAAAATTACACAATATAAACAAAGTAATTAAATTGAATTCAAACTAATTATAAAATAAAATTAAAAATAAACAAAATAAAAATAATTAAAATCAAATTACGTAACTAGTTAATAAAAATTAATTAAAAATTAAAAATTAAATTCAAACTAATTAAAAAAACTCATTAAAACTCATTAAAAACGCATTAAAATTACGTAACTAGGTCAATGATGACGTCACAAGGTTACTGATTACGTCACAAGGTCACCACCGGTGACCTACTGACCTACTCCCCATCCGCATCCCTGCGCATCCTCCCCATCCCCATCCGCATCCCCATCCGCATCCGAGTATTTTACTATATATCCTTTGCGCATCCCCACATCCCCCTCCCCATCCGCATCCGAGTATTTTACTATATATCCTTTGCGCATCCCCACATCCCCCTCCCCATCCGCATCCGAGTATTTTACTATATATCCTTTGCGCATCCCCACATCCCCCTCCCCATCCGCATCCGAGTATTTTACTATATATCCTTTGCGCATCCCCACATCCCCCTCCCCATCCGCATCCGAGTATTTTACTATATATCCTTTGCGCATCCCCACATCCGCCTGCGCCTGCGCCTGCGGTCCAAAAGGGACCTAATATACTACTACCATATTTGTACTATGTTTGTACCATATTTGTACCACATTTGTACCACATTTGTACCATATTTGTACCACATTTGTACCATATTTGTACCATATTTGTACCAAATTTGTACCATATTTGTACCATGTTTGTACCATATTTGTACCATATTTGTACCATATTTGTACCATATTTGTACCATATTTGTACCATGTTTGTACCATGTTTGTACCATATTTGTAGAGAAAGTGCCTGGCTTGGGCTGTACTGGAACACTGATGGTCAACTCGAGTCCAACTGCCAGACAGTGAAGGTCTTTGATCAGACCTCTCTGGGGACCTACGATAAGGTCAGTGTCTATAGGCAACCTCGCTACAAGGCACATCAAGTAGTAACATGTCGACTTAAATTTTAAAAAAAGTATATATATATATATATATATATATATATATATATATATATATATATATATATATATATATATATATATATATATATATATATATATATATATATATATATGCATGTATAAGTATATATTTACAAAAACTAAATTTATGTTTTTTTCTACGTTCCTTAATTTATTTTCACATATAACGATTCAGCAGATTTAGCCCATACACTAATCAACGCTTACGTGAAAATAATTTCGTCAGCTGACATGTGTATGTGTATTCAATCACATATCGTGATCGATTTGTTTAATCCCGTCAATACAGCATGCATGTCTAGCAGGTGGAATTGATTTTAAGATATAAGAATAAGTGCATCAACGTGAGTCGAGTCGATTTATGACTCCATGCATGACTTGTCGATATAATGACTCCATGCATGACTTGTCGATTTGAGACAAATCAAGACGCTAGCCGTATTCACGCTATATTGATAACTAACAAAATGATTCCATACCCACTTGTCATTACAGATCTCCCCATAGTCCACCATTCCATTACATACCTCCCCATGTTCCCACTTAATCTCCCCATGGTCCACCATTCCATTACAGATCTCACCAATGTTCTCCCTTGTGATAACAGATCTTTCCCTGTTCCCACTTAATCTCCCCATGTTCCCACTTACCATTACAGACCTCCCCATGTTCCCACTTACCATTAATCCCCCATATTCCCACTTACCATTACATATCTCCCCATATTCCCACTTACCATTACAGACCTCCCCATATTCCCACTTACCATTACAGACCTCCCCATATTCCCACTTACCATTACAGACCTCCCCATATTCCCACTTACCATTAATCCCCCATATTCCCACTTACCATTAATCCCCCATATTCCCACTTACCATTACATATCTCCCCATATTCCCACTTACCATTACAGACCTCCCCATGTTCCCATTACAAACCTCCCCATATTCCCACTTACCATTACATACCTCCCCATATTCCCACTTACCATTACATATCTCCCATATTCCCACTTACCATTACAGACCTACCCATATTCCCACTTACCATTACATATCTCCCCATATTTCCACTTACCATTGCATATCTCCCATATTCCCACTTACCATTACATATCTCCCCATATTCCTACTTACCATTACAGACCTCCCCATATTCCCACTTACCATTACATATCTCCCCATATTCCCACTTACCATTACATACCTCCCCATGTTTCCATTACATATCTCCCCATATTCCCACTTACCATTACATATCTCCCCATATTTCCACTTACCATTACATATCTCCCCATATTTCCACTTACCATTACATATCTCCCCATATTCCCACTTACCATTACAGACCTCCCCATATTCCCACTTACCATTACATACATCCACATTTTCCCATTACATATCTCCCCATATTCCCACTTACCATTACATATCTCCCCATATTCCCACTTACCATTACAGACCTCCCCATGCTTCTCCCTACACACTGACGGCACGATGGTAGCTGACAGCTGCAGTGATAGACGACATTTTTTCTGTGAACGTCGGTACAGCTGTGAGTGAGCATTTGTTTTAGATATCAGTTCATCATTTGGGTCGTAGAGCCACCTACCCCAACGTCCACCAGCTAACAGCACCACAACAGTCCAGACTCCTTAAATCACAATGTTCTACCTCACAACCTAAATAGCTACCAGTGCAACGAAATCGCGCACACATTTTCTTACTTAAAAATAGTTTAAGTGCCACAACATATTTGATTAACCCTTGACCTTTCGTCACAAAAGTCCAAAACAACCTTCCCTTTCTTTGGAGTATGATGTAGCTCCTAAACAGTACAACTTCAAAGCTAATATACAACACAACTGCAAAACGGCATGTTCTAAAAGCCTAATTACTTACACTAATGTACGAATCTGTAAGTTGAGCTACCTGCTTTTATAATGTTATATTCATTACAGATGGGCGTATATATTTTCAAATAACTTTCATATTTACATTGCTTATTTATTTTCATATAATTTACAGATCCACAAAAAAAAACACCCACTGTCACAAAGAAAGAAACACACACACACACACACACACACACATATATATATATATATATATATATATATATATATATATATATATATATATATATATATATATATATATATATATGTATGTATGTATGTATGTATGTATGTATATATATATATATATATATATATATATATATATATATATATATATATATATATATATATATATATATATATATATATATATGTATATATTTCTATATATACATATTTATATATATATATATATGTATATATATATATATATATATATATATATATATATATATACATATATATATATATATATATATATATATATATATATATATATATATATATATATATATATATATATATATATATATATATATATATTATGTATGTATATCTCCCTCCACTCTCGAGCAGCCCTCAGCTCGACCTACAAAGGTCTCGTGTTTGGAGTGTCAGTGAATGGCAACAACGATAAGAAATGTCAGGAGGAGTGTGACAGTCTACCTGGATGTCAGGTGACATGGCGTAGCGATGTCAACAACAGGTGCTGGGTTGTCATAGGAAACTGTAGCAGAAGTGAGTGGGCGTTTGTGGTCACCTGGGGGGTAGGGTGGGTCGACTGGTGGTAAAACTACAGGTGTGTGTGGGTCGTAAAAAGTGTGTGGGTTGACTGTTTTAACAGTAGTTGTGTGGGTCGACTGTTGTACAAAGTATGTGTTTCTGTAAAAAGTGGGGGTGGGTCGTACGAAGTGTAGGAGGTTGACTTTTGTATAAGGTGTGTGTTGGTTGTAAAAAATGTGTGTATTGAGTGTTGTAACAATTGTTGTGTGTGTTGACTGTTGTAAAATGATTTTGGGTGTTTAAAATCATTAAAAAAAACTACAGCTAAGTGTAAAATATACAATTTTCAATTCGTAATATATATACTGAAAGGAAGAGGGAAGCCTAGCTAGCTCCGCCCCCGCCCATTGACATCCCATAGTAACCATAACAATCAAATACTCGCACATTCCATGTGACTTTATTCAAACAGCTTTTGTATTTGACTTTAGTTGATACAGCAGCAGTAACTGTAGAGGTGCCAACAGATCTGAGGGACACACCCAACTCGTGCTACCCTGATGTCAGCCTAGGTAGGTGGGGTATTGGTGACTTGTTGGTGGGATATTGGTAACTTGTGGGTGAAGTGGGATATTGGTGACTTGTGGGTGAAGTGGGATATTGGTGACTTGTGGGTGGGATATTGGTGACTTGTGGGTGAAGTGGGATATTGGTGACTTGTGGGTGAGGTGGGATATTGGTGACTTGTGGGTGAAGTGGGATATTGGTGACTTGTGTGTGGGGTGGGATATTGGTGACTTGTGGGTGAGGTGGGATATTGGTGACTTGTGGGGGAGGTGGGATATTGGTGGCTTGCGGGGTGGGGTATTGGTGACTTGTGTGTGGGGTGGGATATTGGTGACTTGTGGGTGAGGTGGGATATTGGTGACTTGTGGGGGAGGTGGGATATTGGTGGCTTGCGGGGTGGGGTATTGGTGACTTGTGGGTGAGGTGGTGTATTGGTGGCTTATGGATGAGGTGGGATATTGGTGACTTGTGGGTGAGGTGAGATATTGGTGACTTGTGGATGAGGTGAGATACTGGTGACTTGTGTGTGGGGTGGGATATTGGTGACTTGTGTGTGGGGTGGGATATTGGTGACTTGTGGATGAGGTGGGATATTGGTGACTTGTATGTGGGGTGGGATATTGGTGACTTGTGTGTGGGGTGGGATATTGGTGACTTGTGTGTGGGGTGGGATATTGGTGACTTGTGGATGAGGTGGGATATTGGTGACTTGTGTGTGGGGTGGGATATTGGTGACTTGTGTGTGGGGTGGGATATTGGTGACTTGTGTGTGGGGTGGGATATTTGTGACTTGTGTGTGGGGGGGGATATTGGTGACTTGTGGATGAGGTGGGATATTGGTGACTTGTGGGCAAGGTAGGATATTGGTGACGTGTGTGGGGTGGGATATTGGTGACTTGTGGATGAGGTGGGATATTGGTGACTTGTGGGCAAGGTAGGATATTGGTGACGTGTGTGGGGTGGGATATTGGTGACTTGTGGATGAGGTGGGATATTGGTGACTTGTGTGTGGGATATTGGTGACTTGTGTGTGGGGTGGGATATTGGTGACTTGTGTGTGGGGTGGGATATTGGTGACTTGTGTGTGGGGTGGGATATTGGTGACTTGTGGATGAGGTGAGATACTGGTGACTTGTGTGTGAGGTGGGATATTGGTGACTTGTGGGCAAGGTAGGATATTGGTGACGTGTGTGGGGTGGGATATTGGTGACTTGTGGGCAAGGTAGGATATTGGTGACTTGTGTGTGGGGTGGGATATTTGTGACTTGTGTGTGGGGGGGATATTGGTGACTTGTGGATGAGGTGAGATACTGGTGACTTGTGGATGAGGTGGGATATTGGTGACTTGTGGGCAAGGTAGGATATTTGTGACGTGTGTGGGGTGGGATATTTGTGACTTGTGTGTGGGTGGGATATTTGTGACTTGTGTGTGTGGGGGGGATATTGGTGACTTGTGTGTGAGGTGGGATATTGGTGACTTGTGGATGAGGTGGGATATTGGTGACTTGTGGGCAAGGTAGGATATTGGTGACGTGTGTGGGGTGGGATATTGGTGACTTGTGGGTGAGGTGAGATACCTGTGACTTGTGGATGAGGTGAGATATTGGTGGCTTGTGTGTGAGGTGGGATATTGGTGACTTGTGGGCAAGGTAGGATATTAGTGACTTGTGTGTGGGGTGGGATATTGGTGACTTGTGGATGAGGTGAGATACTGGTGACTTGTGGATGAGGTGGGATATTGGTGACTTGTGTGTGGGGTGGGATATTGGTGACTTGTGGGCAAGGTAGGATATTGGTGACTTGTGAGAAAGTTTAATATTTACCACTTCTGACTGAGAAGGTGCAGCAATAACGACTTTCGACTGTTAAAATTTTAAGATTATCATCAAACTAATCAAAAACAGTTTCTTTTTTTTATTAAATTTTAACACACCTGTGGCTAAATCAATTAGAGATCCTCACATTTTGCTAACTTATTGATTAGCAAACTATTAGCAACCCAATATCTTAGGCATTACAAACAGTTTAAAAATTGCTAGATCGATAACGATTCTGATACATGATTGATCACTACCCAAATAGCACCTTGACATTATTAGTTCGTGTCCTGATTCTCTAACTGACATATACAACATTCACGGTTTTGAAATCAACAAGTTGAAATCAACATACTTTTTCCAGGTCAGGTGACCTCATCAAGCGCAGAAGTGTCCACGCGCATGACGACGTGTCCCCCAGCGATAACCAGCACTGTCAATATGGTCAGCACTCACGTGACCACCACCACCACCACCACCATCGCAACCACAACCACCATGCACACGACCACACAGACAGTAGGTTGGACGGATTACTTGACCACAACAGTCTACCCTGCCTGTTCGGACCTTAGTGCTCACATGTAGGTACACCTGGTTTTTTAAACTGCACTGACCTTTATATATATATATATATATATATATATATATATATATATATATATATATATATATATATATATATATATATATATATATATATATATATATATATATATATATATATATATATATATATATATATATATATATATATATATATATATATATATATATATATATATGTATGTATGTATATATGTATATATGTATATATATATATATATATATATATATATATATATATAATATATATATATATATATATAATACAAATATAATAAAAATATATTTATCTCAACGTCATTATTGAACGCCACTTTACCGTGAAAGCCTTTCAACTGAATTTGGTAACCCTGGCATATAAATCTGCAACATAATTTTCTCATACATCAAGTGTATGTCATAGAGATAAAATTAATTTTATTGATGGAAATTAAAGCAAATTTTCCTGCAACATTTGTTTAAAATCTGCTAGTTTTGTGTATATGTTTTGTAAATATTCGAATAATATTCCAATAGAATATAGAATGATAAATGAGTAATATTTGAAAACTCTGAATACCCTAATCACCAGCTCACTGGCGACTCAGCTTATTTCAAACCCAGCCACGCCCAGCATTCAGCTCCAAGCCTCCTTCTCCGGCTCCCAGCTCCCACACAGCTTCTCAGACTGCCCAGAGCCGGAAACAGTCACAAACCACGTGACAGCCGCCAGCGACACATGCACGTCTACGCTGTATGTGACGTCATCAAGTGGGCCGACGCCGTCACTTCCGCTGCCAGTTGGAGCCGACAGCCCCGGGAATACATTGTTGTCTGGCATTGGAAGTACGTCACCACACAGAGTAAGTAGTCACGTGATCTTTCATTTTAATTTTTTTAATCACGTTTAGAATTTCCGATAAAATTGATTATTATCTTGACAATCACTTGATTCCAACCTCTGTCTGTCTCTGTGTCTGTCTGTCTGTCTGTCTACCTGTCTGTTATTCTAGTTTTAGTTACAATAGCGGTCACTGTCAAACATTATCGTTGAAACTATATGCAACATATAATCATATGTTCTAACCGGCTGATCTAATCTCAATTCAAACGAGCAGAGGCGTAGCGACCCCTCCCGGCGCCCCGGGACAAACTTTAAAATTTGGCGCCCCCCCCCCTCATGTATTTTTTAATATTTATAATTCAAAACTGCAGCTAAAATGAGCTTTTAATTTTTTTCAACTTACTTTGGCGCTCCTATGATCAGCGCCCGGGGACATATGTACCCCCCTCCCACCGTCGCTACGCCTCTGCAAACGAGTACAATGTATTTTAATTTTCGAGTTCTTCCTTCTATCCCTTCCCCCCCCCCCCCCCACCATACACCTTGAATCATAGTATCGATGCAGCCAAAAAAATAAACTCTTTCTGAACATTCCAGTCGGCCTTGAGTGGCGACCCCTTGAACTCTGACCCAACGACGTCGCTGACCCCGTCCCAAATCGACGCCCTGGTAGCGTCCATCGTGGCCGAGCTAAGCCTAGACCACGGGGAACTCTCCAACTCGCGGAGGAAGAAAATCTCCGCCTACGACGGCCGGACGACGGCCGAGGTGTCTGGCGTGGTTGCCTGCATCTTCCTGGGCTGTTCTATCGCATGCATCGTCCTGCTGGACGTGCCTCTGCTGGTCAATCATTGCATGAGGAGGGTCAAAGGTTGCAAGAGATAGCGAGGTGTCAGCGTGTGGGTTGTTAGGTCAGTAAGTTAATGATGATTGTGATTGTGTGTGGATAATAGATTAGTGTGAGTGTGGGCTTATATATCTAGTTAATATAATTGTCAACGTCATTAAAAAAAATCGCCATCACCATAACCATCTTCACCAACAACATCACCATGTTAATCATCAGCATCACCATCACCATCTTAACCACCACAACAATCAACACCACCTTCACAATCACAGCTTTCACTATCAACATCACTAAAATCTTCATCATCCTCACCACCATCACGAAATCAGTCCGTCTCTAACAAAATCCGACTAGAGTTCTCTGTCCTGCACTATCCAATACATCCGTTTTCTTGTGCCATCTCTCTCTAGTCGGAGGTTGCCTTGAGTTCTCAGAATCATTAAAATTCCGAGACATCATCTTTCCCGCAATCTTTGAAAGAATTGATTTCAGTGCCTACTTGTTCGACTTTGTCCGTCAATTTTTATTATTCTTATAACCTTAAAACCACGTGAAAATTATGATTAACTTTAACTAAGGGTTGAAGATTCCCCTCCATTGTCTTTCGATAAAGAATAAAAAAATATTTCTTCACTAAATCACAGTTTGGGACATTTATTTAATATCCCAACCCGCATGTAAGCATATATGCTACATAAACAAAAATATATATATATTATATAAATATAGATCTATATATTCATAGATGTACATATTCTATCGAAACCAATAGTTATGCTATTTTTCCAACGTTTTCTTTAACTTGCTTTCCCGTCTGTTTGGTTTTCCAATCAAATCTTGCGATCGAAATTTCGGACACTTCCCAGTTAGCTAGCGCGCTGAAATTTTCATCGTTTTTCATCGCTTATAGTAGAGTGATCGCTTGCATTATTGTGATGTATAGCATTTATTTTCTACTTTTTAATTCAATCAGAAAACGTGGGTTTTTAAAACTTTTTTAATGATAATTATTTTACAAATGGTTATCGTATATAAACATGTGTTATTTAATCACGTGCCCTATTGAAAAAAATAACATACGCATAGCATATATCAGGACACTAATGAAGCAAGTCAGCATCGATGCACGATATTGTTAACTTTGTGAATGATCGAAGTAAGGATTTTTACCTATGTTGTATTAACTTTGTGCTGTTATTGAGACGTGTTGTTATGTGGCTTTTGATAGTGTTTACAAAAACTTTCTTTTGGCTAGCGCTATATCCTAAACTAGACCTAACGTTAAATTATAAACAAAGATGAAGAATGCTGCATTAAATTTAAAGAAAAAATGACATTACCTATTTACAAAAGCGATACGGTATTTATTCTAATTCTAATGAAGACATTGATGCTAAAATTCTTGATTTGGTGAATTTTATTCCACGCTTGTGATTTTATGTTTTATCAATATAACATCAATGTTGGATTGATATAATATCTATTTGGATGGATACAAATCAATTTTGGATTAATATAATATCTATTTTGGATTGATACAAATTAATTTTGGATTAATGTAACATCAATTTTGGATCGATCATTGTACCATCTGTTGTTTTTTTTTTGCACTTTCTCTTACATTCTTCATCGTTATGCGTGCAATATTGAAAAACTATTTTTGTGCTCTGCAGTGCGAGACAATCTGTTTAATTTAATAAATAAAGTTTATTACAATAAAAAAAATAACTCCTGAATATGATATTATGTTTGAACACTTGTGCGTGTGCTTACATACACAGACACATAAACACACATAAGCACACTCACGCGCGCATAAACGCACGTGTGTATATGCGTATGTGTCTGTAAGTGTACATGTACATGTGCTTGTACGTGTTCATGTTCGTGTATATGTACGTGTGCGTATATGTACATGCGTACTAAGATAAATTGAGTATAGCCAACTACAACACCCCAGGTGCCAGTAGAAGTGTACACAAGTGCCAGACAGGCCCGTACACTGCTAGCAACGACCTTCACCCCATCCCGACATGCCTCAGTAAACAGGAAAGTGCGAAAAAGTGCCGGAACTACATTATTTGGCGTACAGCGAAACATTCCACACAATAGAGCCGAGGTCGAACATTTCCGGAAGTGACGTCATTATGTTGAATGCGGCGATGCTGGGGAAGCCCGGTAGCCGTAAGGTATTTATAAACATGAGAGGAATTGCGGACAAGGTGAAAGGTGAACGGAATACCTGCTATAGCCTTCAGCCTCGCGAGAAATCGATGTATTATTGACAGAATAATCAACGGCTTTCTAGATAAAAATAAGAATATCCTGTAGGAGATAGATTGGTTTGATTTAGGTAATGAGCCTCTGGGGGTGAGGGGGGAGTGTTTCTTTCAGACTTTTTTCTCCAGGGGTGGGGGGGCACTTGAAACTTTCGGAGGGGGGCGGGTTAAAAATATTTCGGGGGGGGGGGGGGGGGGAGGGGGAGGGTGCGGACACTGGTAACAGTATATATTTTTTCTATACATTTTCTCTATAATTTTTTCTCTATAAATTCGTTCGGGGGGAGGGGGGGGGGGGGAAGGGCTGTAGGATCCCTTCCCTTCGGAGAGGGAGGGGGTACGCCCCTCCCTCCCCCCCTCCCCCGAAGAGATGCCTGAAGGAACATTTTCTTTTGTTATTAAAACAACCGACTAGTCTTGATTTATGCTGACTCAGCACATCCACAGAGAAATACGTTGTAATGTGGGAAAGTCTAGGTTAAAGGTTAGGTGAAGGTTAAGGCTAGTTAGGCTAAGGAAGGGTTTGGTTCGGATGTTCAAGATTTGAATGTATTACTAACAACATAAACACAATCTCACTAAAATATACGCACGCGTGATGTTTCTTTTTAATTAGTCTGCCTACTAATTAATGGTTAATTAATATTGTTAAGACTAGGATTAGGGAGGTAGTTATAATTTAGAAAATATAGTTCGATCACTTGCGTTTCTCGATATACAGTGTATCCAATGGTTCATGGATTAGGTTAATCTCTCCCTGCCTCTAATTCTTGTGTTTCCTTATGTTATTATTGTTGACAAACACGAAAGCTGAGTGTGAATGCAAGGACGTGGGCAAGCTATATGCTAAGTCTAATAACTATATGATTTGTAAGGTGAGGGGCATGTTTCGTATCATTCCATTGAACTCTCTTGGTGGCTGATAAAAATTTTCTGTATACTTGTATTTAGGTAGTTGCATCAGGAATATAATCCACACAGAGATATTTGATATGTAGTTTTGGACTGTAGGCAAACTAAAAAGTAGAGAGCTCGTTGGGACATGCCCGGTACCATTTAGAGCTGAGCAAGTTCAGAGGTAACTTTGGTGATCATCACATCAAAATATAACTAGTTTCTAATAGCAAATAAAAAACGTTGCCTAATGATTGTGAATAAAGTATAACATTTTTTAATTATCAACAATTATTTCAATGAAATTTTAAAATCATAGTTTATTAATTTATATATATATATATATATATATATATATATGTATATATATATATATATATATATATATATATATATATATATATATATATATATATATATATATATATATATTATATATATATATATATATATATATATATATATATATATATATATATATATATATATATATATATATATATATATATATATAAGAAGAAGAAAGTTTAGAAAAGCTAACTCAAAATTAAAAATCTATTTTACGAAGATATTTTTCTAAAATCACTTTCACATTTAACAAAATCTGGTAAAATATGTGAAAACGAGGTGAGGTCAACGACCGCTCAGAACGACGACCTTAGACCAACATTTTGTTAAAGATCACGAGAGCCCGAGGTGATGCAAATCTTCTGCGACAACAACAGCCACAGACCACGCTCGTAGATCTATTGTGATGGCGTTTTAAACAGTATCGATTTGATTTGATGTACTGTTAAACTGGTGTTGATTATCAGCTTGGGGGTGAGTAGATGCTAAAAATAGACAGCACGGACAGAGAAGTACATCATGGCGGCTTCTTTCAGGTGTTTGTTTTTCTTATACAGAACAAAGTATAGATTTGTTTATTTGGTATACTTTTTTTATTTATATATAAACAACTGTGCACATATTTTAGCGTCTTGTACATATAGAACAACATATAAACTATACAACGATGTATATACAAATCAACTGTTTATAAAAGAAAACAGCTTATAAACAGCTGGAATTTTTTTTTTACCAAATGACATTGTATTTAAACTGTGATAGAAGAGAACCTGGTTTGTTTTTTAAAGATTGATTTATTTTTTCCGTTACATTGAGAAAAAAATCGTTGCGCTGCTGCAGAGATTGGATCATTAATACATGGTTCAAATAAAGAGAAAAAAAAAACCCACCAAAATTTGTAAAAAAAAAAAAAAAAAAAAAAAAAAGAAAAACCAAGAAAAAAAAAACAACAACAAAAACTCCAGAACATGTAAAAAAAAAAGTAACAAACAAAAAAACAAAACAACTAACAACTGATCAACATGTTTACCTTGTTGCCATGGAGACCGAAGACCAACTTTTATTGACGCTAGCAGGTTTCTTGACGCCCCATGTTTATGACTCAATACAGAGACAATCGGCTGACACGTTTCCGTCTTTTTTTTCTGTTTTACAGCCGACGTCTCAGTCAGTAGCGTAGCGGGGGGGGGGGGGGCATATGTCCCCGGGCGCCTACCTTAGGGGGCGCCAAAATGGGTTGGAAAAATAAATTGAAAGGTTGAGGGGGTGCAAATCGAAAGTTTGAGGGGGGGGGGTGCAAATGGAAATCTCGAGGGGGGGGGGGTGCAAATCGAAAGTTTGAAGGGGGGGGGGGTGCAAATCGAAAAGTTTGTCCCCGGGCGCCGGGAAGGGTCGCTACGCCACTTGTCTCAGTGTAGTGGAGGTTAATGTCATTAGGGTTATCGTTGTGGTCAGGTTAGTATATACATAGTAACTGACTTCAGTGTCCGTTTTCAGAATAAACAGAGTAGCTT